GTTAATGAGATCAATAACGGTATTTATGTCAACAAATATATACTAATCGATGCCCTGGTTCCAGTTTCTAGTTTTGTGTTTGTGCTGGGTGACATTTGCTAATTTGAAACTATAGATGAACATATTGAATAATAAATGTGAATCTGTAACACGACGTGCTACCATTTTATTGATATTCAGTTTTCATTCCTACTGTGCTGTGAAATCTGTGTGTGTGTGTGTGTGTGTGTGTGTGTCTGTGTGTGTCGGGGAGACAGGGGGAGAGAGAAAGGGAGAGCTATTTTATTTAAATGACAGAAAATGACAATCTATTTCACGCATGAAAGCATGGGATACGAGGGATATATAAATGAATAAATAAATAAATAAATAAATAAATAAATAAATAAATAAATAAAACAAATAAATAAATATATAAATAAGCAAATAAATAAATAAATAAAAACAAACAAACAAACAAACAAATAAATAAATATATAGAGAGAGAGTGAGAGAGAGAGAGAGAGAGAGAGAGAGAGAGAGAGAGAGAGAGAGAGTGAGCGTACGCACAGAAGTTCACTTATTTACCAAGATTGTCGACCACCAAATCGACAGCTGTTTTGATATTCAGAAATTTAATCGAAATGCATGACATTATTCACTTTTAAAGAACACAGTTCAATTATGCATACTGATTGTTCCCGAAGGTACTGGAGCCTGTGCTTTTCATTTTTCAATCAATAGATGTATTTTATTCATGTGCACCCAAACTGTTTGTGGGAACGAGTTATCGGAATTAAATAATTATACCCTTTCGAACTTTCAAATTCAGCAAAACGATTCTACCTCTTCTGAATGAGTCACGTAAATGTATAGGTTAAATAGTATCATTATTTCTACACCTTCATAAGTTCCTAAAGATCGGCCAACTCACCACTGCGAAATTCTTACCGCATGTGGGAAGACTGGCGTTTTTACCCGGCTACGGAGAGCGCACGTCAAAGCGGTCAGTGATGCACGACTCAGTCAGGCTTGTGTCTCAGAGTATCGTGTCACGAAGTGCATGAGAAAATGTCACCAAGGCGTCACCTTGATGATTCACTTTAACATTAGATATATAAGACGAATCAATTATTGAATGACATTCTTTAATACAAATATCTTCGTATGCCTAGATTTACTGACCCCAGTGGTCTCATTATTGAGTGAGTGAGTGAATGGATTTAGTTTTACGCTTTTTAGCATATTCCAGCAATATCACGACGGGTGATACCAGATGGGCTTCACACAATATACCCATGAGGCTATTCGAACCCGGGTATTCGACGTGACGAGCGAACGCTTTAATACAAGGCTACCCCACAGCACCTCTGAGTATAGAAGCTTGGGGCATTTCAGACTGATTGGTTCAGCTGACGTGGCGCGCTGTGCGTCTGGAACAGACAAACCCGAGACTCGCAATAATCTTTAATCTTTAATCTTTAATCTTTCACCCTCTCAGTTGGGTCAGGCTGACAATGTCTCTCAATCCATCCAATCCAGTCAATCCACTTTCGATTCTCCATAACGCAGCACCCACAACAAACTGTCGCGGGTATTTGATTTAAACTGAACGTTGCATCTGCATCTAAGCATATCGATGAAGAGTGAGTGAGTGAGTTTAGTTGTACGCCGCTTTTAGCAATATTCCAACAATATCACGCCATGCGGCACCAGAAATGACCAGAGATCGAACCCGAGTGCTCGGCGCCAAGAGCGAACGCTTTAACCACTAAGCTACCTCGCCAAACCCCGTGGTAAGACGACTCAGGTGAACAAATCTTTATTTCTTGTAGCGTTTCTTCGCTGCTTACAAGCATGGATAAATCACACATGTGTCAAATCAAACAGTCCTCTCCTTTCTGTATCACCCTCTGAGTCATTCATAATTCAACACAATTCCAACCAAGTCTCGCATCATCCGCCAAGGTAAAGAAATTTGTTGAGATTTTCATTTGTATTGGGCGAGGAATGTGAGCGTGAATAGGTATTTTTTAGATGCATTTGTTTATTACAAACGTAAGCCCTTATACGTCTAGAAACTGAATGGCAGACTTTACAAGTCAAAGGCCACTTTGTGTCACAGTTTTCGCTATCTTACCAAGCTGTTTCACGCTCATTATGTCAGTGAGCTGCACGCAGTAACCTTTAAACATGGCAGCGTCTACGTAAATCCAAAACAATTTCATGTATCTTATTACGAATTTTGTGACGAATGATTTATTACAGAATATAACCTATATATCTCCAAAAAATTAAATAATGCCTTATGCCCGAACTACATCTAGCCTACCTCGGTGGCGAGTAAGACAATTCAACTATTCAATCAATACACACTAACTAGAATATTTGCCTTTCTCTCTCTCTGAACGAGAGAAAGAGAGAGAAAGAAAGAAAGAGAGAGAGAGAGAGGGGGTCGGGACAGCCTTGAATGAATGCTGTTTTACGCTTATACATATAGAGCCTTGTGTATTATACATAACACCCTCCTCCCCCTCTTCCACCCTCCACCCACTCCTCTCTCTCCCCCACTCTGAAGCAGATACTCCACCCTTCTCCTCTCCCCACCTCTCAAGCAGATACTCCCCACCCCTTCTCCCACCCTCTCAAAAGATGCTCCCCCACCCCCTTCTCCCTCGCTCCAATATTCCAGTAATTATTTGCTGAGAGCGCAGCTATATATGCTATATATTAACTAATAATACCCCTTGTGTGATGGCCCAGGGTAAATCTGTGGTGATTCTAAACTTGCTACATTGTGGAACATAACAGTGTAACATTGTATGGTTCAGAGACAGGGAGACAGACTATTGCCTGTTTGCATGTTTCACATTCCCCACGCGCAACAGCACGTGCGTGCGACAGACACGATGTAATAATGTAAGTAAGACTAGCTGCATGGGTTATTTCTTTCGGTCTATGGAGAGATGTGGGTGAGCGTCGTCTCAGCTGGAACGACGATTCCTGCAGACAGTCCAGATTAACGAGGTGTCCTCTATTCCGGACACTACTACGCAGAGACTTACACAATACAGCTGTTCTCTCGCATGCTCCCGAATATGGCACCTGGCAATAGAAAAACGCACGAGTGGCACGTGCACTATGTAAACAGCACCGCATAAACAGGTTCCCATGACGTCATCTTGGATTGGCGGTTACTGATCATCCTACCTTACACTGAATCTGACGGAATGTGACGGAATCTGACGGAGATTGCAAACCCCTCGTCAGCTTGCCGGTATAGATGAAGGGACCTTTCCGGTTACGGTGAAAATGGTGTAATAACTGACTTCAGTGTGCTTCTTTGTATTGTTGTTTAACGCTCCAATCTACAATATTCCAGCCATTTCCAGTCTGGACCAGGCAACTCAGTGGTTGACACCATGAGCATCGATTTGCAAAACTTGGACACGATGACATGTATCAACCATGTCAGCGAGCCTGACAACCCGATCCCGTCAGTCACCTGATACGATGGCGTAAAGGTTGTTGAGTTACTGAAGATCAATGTTAACCCGGATCTAGTCTGTCTCACAGTCCCTGAACCGCATTAATTTCCCTTCCGCCCAGCTTTCTGCAATACTAAAACTCTAAATGAAGCAACTCTAGATTTTAAATTTCAAATATCACTGTGGCCTTTTTTCAGTTTAAAACGAATTATGTATAAATTATGCATAATCTGAGACTACGCTTTAGTCTAACCCGGGCAAAGGGAAACAGAGACGACCACGGATTACTCCAGACCAATTTTAACCTGGATCTAGTCAGGATCGCAGCCCCTGAACTGCATTATCTCCCCTTCTGCCCACCCCTTTCTGTAATGCTAAACCCCAAACTGAAGCAAGTCTAGATTACCTCAGGTTCAGGTTTTGAATCTTGCATGTCACTGTGACTCATTTTCAATGGAAAAGGAATTATTTGTTGCAATCAAAATCATGAATATTCAGAGACTACGCTTTAGTCTAATCCGGGTCTTTCACGAGCAAAGAGAGACGAACAGGGGTAGTTGAAGAGACGAACAGGGGTAGTTGAAGACGTATTCCAGTCTTGATGGTCACGGAGATGTCAACAGTGACCATTCTTCATAATCGGGGTCACATTTCAAATTTCAAAACGTATTTTCTTTCGACATTATTATATTCGATCCAAACAACTTCCCTGATAGTAAATTTAAATTTACCAGATCAATGATCACATGATATTAAATTGACGCGAAACCACCAAGAACCACGTTGCAATATGGCAATTCAGATACCTGGGTGACTTACATATTTATGTCTATCACGCACGAACTGAGCTTATATTAAGCATTCTAACTATATATCCATATGCGACTGGAATATCTTATTATTACCATAAATATTCATGTAGCAGAGTGATGTGTTTTGCAGTTTGTGTAAGGCTACACCTGGCCAGGTACGATATGAGATGAGGTAGTTGAAATGCAGATGGTGAGCAGAACGAGGATGGGCGTTATATACAGGCATAATATATCGGCGCCATATGCCGCCATCAGCGTCACATACTCATTGTTTTGGACGCTGGGAATTCTACAGCAGAGTTGAGTTTGGTTGGGACTGTATATTATAGTTGTATGTTTTAAGGTCGCGATTCTAATTTGTCAAAAGAGACAGCGTGGGTAAAAAAACAAAACAAAACAAAAAAGAAAATCAAAGTAATAAATAACAACGAAACAACAACAATAAAAACCATAGAATCAGAGGTACAGAGTGTGTGAGTGAGTGAGTGCAGTGGGTTAACATCAACTGTATGACAATATTTTAAGGCATAAGTAATGCATGTTTTTTTGAAATATTTAATAATGAAAACACGTAGAATAAACATCTTTCCACCATAAAATATAAACACCAACATTTTAAAAATATTATTTTGCTAAAATATTTGATAGTCGTTATATAATTTGCAGCTGGTGTTGCCCATGTAACGAGCCTTTAACCGACGCCTTGGACGGCACGACCATCATGAGCATTGATCTGCGAAACGTGGACACGATGACAGGCAGCAACCACGTCAGCAAGCACGACAACATGATCCTGTCAGTCGCTTCATACGACATCGTAAAGGTTCTTGTGTTACTGAGGACCAATTCTAACCCGGATCTAGTCTGTTTTACAATCCATGAAGCGCAGGAACTTCCCTTCCGCCCTGCAATGCTGAAGCTCTCAATGAAGCAAGTCTACATTCCCCCAGGTTTAGGAGTTCCGAATCTCCCATCTGACTGGGTCTCCTTTTCGATTTAAATGGAACTATTTGTTTCTATCAAACTATTCTATATATTCAGAGACTAGGCGTTTGTCTCGACCACCCAGTCCCTATCAATCTGGACATCATCACACTGACAGTTTCTGTGTTATTGTGGTATTTGTTCGCTACTTCCCTCATGAAATTAATGCGTCACCAAAATAATGCGAGACTAGACCCATCGCCCTAAATTTTCATATAAATGCTAATCATCAAATGTGATCTCATGAACTAATATGCCGGCTAAAACCCATACAATAGAAACTTCGCTAACAACTCGGTCACTCACAATGCAGTGTATTCCCTGTGACGTCATATGACGTCATGTGACGTCACATGTGAAACACTAATAAGTATGTGATATATATGATATACCCTATGAAATATATGAAATATGACGATTTCTTGTGTGTTTCAGTTTTAGCAACACTCTAACATGGTTATACTTTCTTTTGCCCGGAAGTTTGGTATTGGCTGATTGCTGTTCGGCTGAATAGTAAGATTATAAGCTTTATCTGCTCAGCGTTGTGCAGAGTAAATTATAGATATGAAGGACTTAAATTACTCGACACTGTTTAACCTAGATCTCTTCCACGGCAGATGGATAAATTGGTCTTATTGGCACTGGTGTTTTGTGTAGATTAAGGGGGAATGGGGTTGGGTGTTGTGTTAATTTTATTGCTATTGTGTTGGGGTGTCGGAATCCGAAGCTAAGCATGGATACATGTGATGATATATTTTTCATTGCCTTTGTGTACGGCTTGTTGAATTAATAATGGAAAACATGTAGATTTAATTGTCATTCTTAGTGGGTGGCGGGGTCGAAGTAGAATTTGATTGACATTCAGTTGTCGTTAAATACAATTATTTAGTGTGTTATGTTAAATACTTTTGTGTGTTTTGCCATAATGCCTAATGATGCCTGGTTTGAAAGTCAGCAAGAAGGCACAGTTAATGTTTTGATCAAATAAACACTATCAAGTACTTTTTCTTTCGTGCGGTGCGATGTTTGAATTTTAAAACATTTCCAAATAGATAATACTGTTTTAGGTGTGACGTGTCGACTCATCGTTTCAGTTTTTCGACAACCCAGTTGCACTTTAAGCATCTATGTTGGCCAGAGAAGTCTCGGCCCTATATTGAGTGAGTATGGTTTTACGCCGCTTTCAACAGTATTCCAGGAATACCAGACATCACCTCTCACGTTGTACTCATGGGGGAATCGACCCCGGACTTCAGCGTGACGGGTGAACGCTTTCACCACTAAGCTATCCCACCGACCTTCATATGCTGAAAGTCGAACCGGGTTTCATTCTTAGTGAACCAACGTCTACCCGCCTGTCTACCTGCTACTGTCTCTCGTTGTTGTGGTGTCATCCCACAGAAGACACGATCGTCATTGCGAGTGATTCTCAACTGTCGCAATATACAATGAATACAAATTGCATGAATAATAGCGCGCATGTTGAAAACAAGTATGTTTATGTACAACGGAACCGCAAAACCACATGCCGTCATCCGCTCTTACTTTACATTACTTGTTGATAAATAGAGGAATATTTACCCCCAGACCGTGCCTTCCTAGTCAATGGCCAGTCCAATATCACGAATAACTCACTGAATGTGATATACACAAGATATCAACGTGATTGCCGTGATGTAAAAATAACAACTACCTGTTTTAACTTATATAAAATGCAGAGTCATTGGTAATAACCAAACGACAGGTGTAACCCGTTAAGATCCGGGTTAGAATTGATCTTCAGCAACCCATGCTTGTCGTAAGAGACAACTAACGGGGTCGGGTGGTCAGTAGTGTTGGGAATTGGTTAAAATCTCACAATTGATGATTGGTTCATTACAACCGATCAATCATCGAAAATAATTGGTTAGCGTCATTTATGAAATTTGTTAATGCACATAAAAATAAGGAAAAAACATGTAGTTCTTTTGGGCCTTTTTGGCAAAATTTCACATCTTCAAAGGATGACTAGTATGTTAGGAACATAAATTTCTTGGAGCCTTTAAGATAAATTCAATCATGACTTGAAACGAAATTGTAGTGCTTACAAAATGTAACAGACAAAACCAACCATGTGAAAAATATTGTTAATGAAGTGTTCCAAACTTGGTTGTGTTCGATTATGAGAAATTATGATCGATTGCTTGGTCATTTAGTCACTGCGACCAATCTTCGATTATTTCAATTAATCGGACCACCACTAGTGGTCAGGCTCGCTGATATGGTTGACACATGCCATCGTATCCCAAGTGTGTAGACCGTTGCTCATGATGTCAATCATTGGATTGTCTGGTGCCAGTACCTCATATCGCTTGAATAATGCCGAGTGCTACATTACAGAACAAACAAAGGCAACAATAGCAACCCGACTTAATGTAAATAAAATATTGCGCACCTACACACCAATTGTGCCACACCGCTGTGCACTATTACCCGTTGTACGTGAGGTTCGAAAGTAGCATTTTTCACTGATGAGATTAAACTCTAATTAACACAAATAATTTATTAAACACAAATTACTTAAATTATTAACACGTTGTCTCTCATCTCCCGACGTTGCATATGTGACCAAATGTCCGCACCGACAGTTATGAACAGTTAGCCCATACCTGACCGTTGGTATAAGCACATCAAAAGACGACTCATTAATACGTTATACCAGGCATATGTCATTTTAACACCGGTATTCACACCGGCGGCGGTGCCTTTGAAGTTTTGCTCCCCTGTTCAAGCTCCTTCATCAAAACGCGAGCACCTGTCTCCGTTGAGTAAAATGGCACTCCTCAGTGACTGTAATTTAATCTAATTGGAAGAAGGGGGACGGTCAATTAATGAGGAAGTTCAGAATTAATACGACTTTCCACGAAAACCTTCCAATGTATCGTCGCTTCAAGCAATCTAATTATTTCAATTTTTAGGAGGTATTTACTCATTTGATCATTAGCAAAATCCCAAAAGAATTTTCTTGCTAATTTTTTGCCCTTTTATAAACAGTCCCGCGTTGAAAACACTCTCGTCATATTTTGTATCAAAGATTGAAACAAAAATACTTGTTTTTACTGAAAAGTTGCATTTCCGTCTAGAATTATACACGGCATTGCTGATGAAGTCAGGAAAAGTTTTAATTAAATCATAAAGTACCAAAATTCGATAAAGGCTATTTTCATTTTTCAAGACTACCGTATTCCATCTTAGAGGAGTCTAATAGGAATCGTTTTTAACAATCCAATAATTTGATTTTACACTGGTCTAGGAACTGCATTCGAACCCGAAGCTACCGAGTCTAGTCGTAAAGCTACGAGGCGTAAACTCCGTGGCTCGGCGTAGGGGACAGTGGCATATTTGTCCGCAAACGTCCACGCACGCACGCATGCACGTACATACGTACGCACGGACGCACACACACACGCACATTTTCAGTTAATATTCTGTTGTTTGCTATTTTGGAATGTGTCAAATAGTTTTTGCCTCTTATATATGTGCAGGAATCTCGTTTACCCTAAAACGTACGTTTGTACAATGAACAAGGTCATAAAAATTGGGTTATGAAACTTGTTATTTATAGATTAGGATTTGATGATGACTGGCTGTTTCAAACAAGTGGTAATAAAGCAATATTTTTTGTTATGTCACGTCACCGCTCAATAGAAACAAAACAACATTTTACGAGTTTAGCGCTGAGATTTGGCTTATTACGCACACTTTAAAACATCTGTTTCATGTGGGAACTTTTTGAGTAGGGCTGCTGTAGATGCGTGACGACTCTGTCGCGATATTTAAATATTCCTCGCCAATTTAGAAAATATAAACTTCGTTGTAACTTAAACCACGGAAACGAGTAGCAATCTCAGGCAAGGGTATATAAAACCTATATTCCAAATATTTTCAAATATGAAGAGACTATCAACGTCAGCATATATAGCTGTATACTTGTTTCCCACCAACGCTATCAAAAACAAACACTCTTACTCGGATAACATGCGATTATATTTAAACTGCTTTTGTTAAAAGCTACATCAAAATACATCCGGTGTATGTGATTCTATTTGCACTTAAACTGTACCGCTATTGGTCCGTGGTCTACAAGCACCGAATTAAGTGTTGCCAAGAGGCACCAGGCTTGGGCAACTAAACTGTACCGCTATTTGGCCCGCGGTCTACAAGCACCGAATTAAGTGTTGCCAAGAGGCACCAGACTAGGACACCTAAACTGTACCGCTATTTGGCCCGCGGTCTACAAGCACCGAATTAAGTGTTGCCAAGAGGCACCAGACTAGGGCACCTAAACTGTACCGCTATTGGTCCCGTGGTCTACAAGCACCGAATTAAGTGTTGCCATGAGGCACCAGACTAGGGCACCTAAACTGTACCGCTATTTGGCCCGTGGTCTACAAGCACCGAATTAAGTGTTGCCATGAGGCACCAGACTAGGGCACCTAAACTGTACCGCTATTTGGCCCGTGGTCTACAAGCGCCGAATTAAATGTTGCCAAGAGGCACCAGACTAGGGCACCTAAACTGTACCGCTATTTGGCCCGTGGTCTACAAGCACCGAATTAAGTGTTGCCAAGAGGCACCAGACTAGGGCACCTAAACTGTACCGCTATTGGTCCCGTGGTCTACAAGCACCGAATTAAGTGTTGCCAAGAGGCACCAGACTAGGGCACCTAAACTGTACCGCTATTTGGCCCGTGGTCTACAAGCACCGAATTAAGTGTTGCCATGAGGCACCAGACTAGGGCACCTAAACTGTACCGCTATTTGGCCCGTGGTCTACAAGCACCGAATTAAGTGTTGCCAAGAGGCACCAGACTAGGGCACCTAAACTGTACCGCTATTTGGCCCGTGGTCTACAAGCACCGAATTAAGTGTTGCCAAGAGGCACCAGACTAGGGCACCTAAACTGTATCGCTATTTGGCCCGTGGTCTACAAGCACCGAATTAAGTGTTGCCAAGAGGCACCAGACTAGGACACCTAAACTGTACCCCTTTATATACTGAAAGGCACTTGGACTACAAGTACCGAATAAAGTGTAGCAAAGAGGCTACGTGCTAGTCCCCCACACAACCAACCAGTCCCCCACACAACCAAACAATCAACCAGTCCCCCACACAACCAACCACTCAACCAGTCCCTCACACAACCAACCAGTCCCCCACACAACCACACAACCAACCAGTCCCCCACACAACCAAACTATCAAACCAGTCCCCCACACAACCAACCACACAACCAGTCCCCCACACAACCAACCAGTCCCCCACACAACCAAACAACCAACCAGTCCCCCACACAACCGAAACATCCAACCGGCCAGATTAACCATACCCTCCATACAGACGGTCCCGAAGACTCACTTGTAACAAATTGAACTTTTCCCAAATGACAAACTCGTCATGCATTCCCGCAGCAAACAATCTTGACACAACCTACGAAAAACTAAGTCGACCAATCAAATTACATGGAGAACGCAATTTTCACCACAAGCACAACCGGACCAATTTGGTTCCGAAAAGCGATTACTTTGAATAATCACATTTTTCTAAACAGCTTCACCAATTTTCCCCACATTTTTCTTCTCCGCTACGAAAAAAAAATACGCACCTGTTTTCATCTGCGGGACTGGCCATGGAACCCGGATGAAATATTCATCCCATAGCCCACTTGCCATACGTTCTTAGGAAACTTCATTCCAACTAAGTACATTATACATAAACCGGCACACTTGTGCTTGCAATGTTAATTTAATTAGTTTTGAAACGGTATTAGCTAGATTAACCGGAGCAAGCTTCCAGTGAAAAGTCTTATCCTGTGCTGGGCCGATTCCCCTGAGCATCAATAATAAAAACTAATCAGAGGGGCGACACGCACACAGATCGCAGTCGGGGAGGGGGGATTGTTGGAGGGGTGTCCACATGTTGTCTTCGAATGTAAGTAGCGAGTGCCATGGTTGGCGCGGATATTTGGTGGTCAATGTACGACCACTAACAGACTGTGAAGGTATGGGATGGTGATGGTGAGATACACTGATTACATTGTACAGCACGGGACTTGGGGGTGACTGGGAGAGTTTAATTTTATGCCGCACTCGGCAATATTCCAGCTATATGGCGGCGGTCTTTAAATAATAGTCTGGACCAGACAATCCAGTGATCAACAGCATGAAAATCGATCTAGTCAATTGGGATACGATGACGACAAGCATGGGTTACTGAAAATCAATTCTAACCCGAATCTTCACCTAGCCTAGTGGTTAAAGCGTCTGTCGTTACGCCGAAGACCTGCGTTCGATTCCCCACATGGGAACAATGTGTGAAGCCAGCTTCTGGTGTTCCCCACCGTGATGTTGCTTGAATATTGCTAAAAGCGGCGTAAAACTACACTCCATACTGGGAAATGTAATCCTCAATATAACAAATGTTTGACCTCTTTCCAAATGACACTGCGTATTCATGACTTAGACCGGACAAGCCGGTGATTAACATCAGGAGCTGCGTCCCACGATGTCGAACCAACCACCAGGTGAAATCACCAGGTCAAGGCACGCGTGGTCAGATCGGAATGCCATTGCACCCTACGTGTCACTGGATTGCCTGGTCCTGGTTGTCATATAGCTGACCACTCACTCACTCACTCACTCACTCACACTCACTCACTCACTCACTCACTCACTCACCAGGTGTTGGGCTAATTAGTTGACAGTGACCCACACGCAAAGACAGGCTGACGGTCCAACGCACCTGTTTCACCACATTCCATTCAAATATCGAACAATTGTCAGTGTGAAAATGAAATATGGAGATTAAATTAAAAACCAGTTTCATTATTCAACTCCATAGTTATCTCCATTTCTTAATGAAAAGCTACTAAAAAAAATCTTAAAATGAATTGACTTGTCAATATTGACTTAACACTACATACATTTTGTTTTTATTTGGTAGATTGGTTTCATTGAGAAAAATCAATTCTTGTTTTCCAGCACAAATTAATTAATTATATTTGCCCCATCCGTTCATGTAAATAAGATATGTTTGAACTTAACGATCAGATATCTATATCTGAGTTCTTCAAATACATGGTGGAGCTTTGCTCCAAGCCTTTGAAACTTTCATTATATTGTCAATAGTGAGTGTTTTTGAGAAAGTTGACATTTCTAATATTTCACGGAAAAGGTTAAAAGTTGACACCCAGTTGGAAGAGATGATGTACACATAGATGAAGAACATAAAAACAACCACTATTATATTTTTAATATTTTCACATTATCGATAAACAGTGAATACAGAGTTTTATGTATTAATTTGCAAAGCTGCAATTTTCCCCATGTTTACAATCTATTCGCTCAAAACAGTCTTCAACGGCAAAGAAAGTTGTAACCACTGTCGTGGTGGCAGTGGGGTAGGCTAGTGGTTAAAGCGTTCGCTCGTCAAAGCGGCGTAAAACCATACGCACTCACTCACTTTCTCCATGTTTGCAATCTATTGCTCTAATACAGTGTTCGAGAGGGTCCAATCGTCCTGATGCATTTTCCTGTACATGAAATACAGGTGTGAAGTTATAGTCCGGTCTCCTGGAAACAAACCCCGGACAGCCGAGGATGGTTTTGTTTTCTAGATGGGTTCAATGTATTTCAAGTCGAGAATGGTACGTGAATAACTGGGTTAAAATTAGCCTTCGGGAAACTGTGTCTTCAAATGCCAAGAAGACTGAGTGAGTTGAGTTTTACGCCGCTTTTAGCAATATTCTTGCAATATTCTAGCAATATCAAGGCGGGGGACACCAGAGATGGGTGTCACATTTTGTACCCATGTGGGGAGTCACAGTAACCAGGGTCTTCGGCCTGACGAGCGCCGCCCTCTTCAACTGCCAAGATGAGGATCGGATGGCAAGAGTCAAGGGCTTGGTTCGTATGTGTCAAATGCGTTCATGTTCATAGGTTGTCTGGTCATCAGTGTACAGACGTTGTATAGTCCAACGTGAGCATTGCTTACAAGCAACTCGATAATGTCCCGCGGCTGTAGCAGGATCCGCTAATTACTGGTTAGTTTGAAATAGTATAAGAAGATATGTTTATGTGTAGGTGCACTGTATTTTCTTCTGCTTTCTGTCATTTTATTTAGTTCCATGACTTGTGGCTTCCGGGGTTAAAGGTCAACCAGTTTGAGACTTGTCCGCCTTGCGTTCGTTCGGTATTGTCGTTTGAATGTTGCTGTATCAGGTTTGAGAACAAGGAACAAAATGTTTTACTTAAACAATGTTTAAGGTCTACAACGTTCTGGCAACTTTGAGAAGTCTATTTAGATGTATTGTACAATCAGACATTGGCCTTGAATATGGTCTTGTAGAAAGTCTGTTTTACATGTATTGTACAAGCAGGCTTGTATTTAGCCTTGTATTTTGCCTTGTGTTTGGCCTTGTGTTTAGCCTTGTGTTTGGCCTTCTGTTGAGCCTTGTGTTTGGCCTTGTGTTTGGCCTTCTGTTGAGCCTTGTGTTGAGCCTTGTGTTTGGCCTTCTGTTGAGCCCTGTGTTTGGCCTTGTGTTGAGCCTTGTGTTTGGCCTTGTGTTGAGCCTTGTGTTGAGCCTTGTGTTGAGCCTTGTGTTTGGCCTTGTGTTTAGCCTTGTGTTTGGCCTTCTGTTGAGCCTTGTGTTGAGCCTTGTGTTGAGCCTTGTGTTTGGCCTTGTGTTGAGCCCTGTGTTTGGCCTTGTGTTTGGCCTTGTGTTGAGCCCTGTGTTTGGCCTTCTGTTGAGCCTTGTGTTGAGCCTTGTGTTGAGCCTTGTGTTTGGCCTTGTGTTGAGCCCTGTGTTTGGCCTTGTGTTTGGCCTTGTGTTGAGCCCTGTGTTTGCCCATGTGTTGAGCCCTGTGTTTGGCCTTGTGTTTTTGGCCTTGTGTTGAGCCCTGTGTTTGGCCTTGTGTTGAGCCTTGTGTTTGGCCTTGTGTTTGGCCTTGTGTTGAGCCTTCTGTTGAGCCTTGTGTTGAGCCTTGTGTTTGGCCTTGTGTTGAGCCTTGTGTTTGGCCTTGTGTTGAGCCTTCTGTTGAGCCTTGTGTTGAGCCTTGTGTTTGGCCTTGTGTTGAGCCCTGTGTTTGGCCTTGTGTTTGGCCTTGTGTTGAGCCTTCTGTTGAGCCTTGTGTTGAGCCTTGTGTTTGGCCTTGTGTTGAGCCTTGTGTTTGGCCTTGTGTTTGGCCTTGTGTTGAGCCTTGTGTTTGCCCATGTGTTGAGCCTTGTGTTTGCCCATGTGTTGAGCCTTGTGTTTGGCCTTGTGTTGAGCCTTGTGTTTGGCCTTGTGTTGAGCCTTGTGTTTGGCCTTGTGTTTGCCCATGTGTTTGGCCTTGTGTTTGGCCTTGTGTTTGCCCATGTGTTGAGCCTTGTGTTTGCCCATGTGTTTGGCCTTGTGTTTGGCCTTGTGTTTGGCCCATGTGTTTTTGGCCTCCATTTTGGCCTGGAGTTTGATTTTGGTTCTTATGATTTGTAAAATTTATTTGACATTGAACCGATATCCCGGTACACGTATGAAATGTCGGCCAAAGCGACCTGAATCGAACTCACTCGTTCATCTGGAGAACAGTGAAATTATTAATGCCAGAGGTAATCGTGAATGTGACAAGTTCCACAATTCAAATCTGAAGCTTTTACCAATCAACAATGCGCACGCACAGATATGTGTCAACCAATTAAATCTATCGCAGAATTGAAACGAAATATCAGTTTATACGTAGAAATGTTTAAATTTGTACACCTTATCTGCATTAGTAATAAATGCACTTCGAAAATGAGAAAGTTCGTTTGCAATCGATTCCAACATGAAGTAGGTTTACTAAGATAATGACGCCACTTTCTGTATCTGTTTTATATTGAATCTATTAACAGCCACTGTCTCAAGAACCAGGGCAGTCATGTACTAGTGACCTTTTGTCCTTGAGGGCGTGTTTCCTCCCAAGCGCAAATCCCTTGTGTTAGTTTCGCGTGTTTTGGTCTATGCTGGGGGTTAATTAACAAGCCGATTTTGATTGAGAATCATTAATAATGCAAAGACGGGAGATAAGAGGACAATGTTGGGGCGAGCAGGGAGTGTCTGTTGTGTTTTGCCAGTTCAAGGCAATGCAGGCCATATGTCGCTAAAGAAAAGGTACACCATACGCGCGGACCTCGGAGGAAACTGCCAACGAATTTGAACCAATCGAATTGATCAATGAAGCATTCGGCGCACCATTCCGACATCCGGGCTTTGTTTGCGCATACAATAGACCACAATAAAACACCAATGGAGATAAATTATTGATAGTAATTTCTCAGCACTAAATACAAATACACTTGGGCGAAACCGCCCCCTAATTTTGTACGTTTTGGAAATTGATTCTATTTCATGAACCATATTTTCGAGGTGCCGTTAAGGCAATCGCCATATACATAAAGAAGACAACAGACAGTGTTCCGAATCATGTCGATGTACTATGCTCAATCAATTTTGTAAAAGCATCGAGAGGGTTGAGATTTGTGAATTATTTCCCTTAGTTTGCGATTCTATTGATTGTCCCACATGAAGAGAAAATTACAGGGATATAGCAAGGTGGGTTTATCACTGATGCTAATCAGCATAACTCGTGATCATGTAGAGTCGTGCCGGACGGGAGTATTGTAGCAGGCACGATATTTCGTGACCATCATAACATTAATTGATTATACACGCTTGCAGCGAATGTCGAATAGCGGCCAGAATTCGCAGATCGAATGAATTATGCTTTTCACCCACCTAAACATACTTGTTCATACAAAAATAACCATTCAATAAAATTATGTTCGATTGGAAACCTTGAAACCGTGTTGGGCTGCCAGCAGGATATACAAGCATCCCGCCCGCCATCAACCTTGTCTGTTAAACGATCAATAAAAAGATTGTCTCCTGAAGAAATCAGTGTACATTCTTTAGGGCCGGATATATGACTCGTTACTGTGGAAACAAAATAATCGTCGGAAGCCTTACATCAAAGATCTTTATTGCAACACAATAAACTGCCATAGAAGCAGTCGTTTGATGTAATAAAGAGCATTATCTTTGTAAAGTAACATCAATTATACTGTTTCGTTTTATACATACGCTGTCACGTCATGAAAGAGCTCACTTTTGTATATGTTGTTTTGAGTTGTCTTTTTGTAACAAACCATCTAACTCGTAAATATCATGAAATTGCATTATTTATTGCACTTCTAACGTTCTTACTCGGGACAGTCTCAAGAACTTTCATTACGCTGTTTATGTTTCTACAATGGATTTTGAAATTACACGATTCTTCTTGGTCAAACAAAGGTAGGAAATCACCATAAACTGTTCTCACAGACACAAAATGTTTTTACGAACTCTGATCTGTTAGTGATCATTATAAACTGACGTACAACAGAAAGTACACACCTGATGCTTTGGTAAAATGTTTTCCTGAAAACAGCGTAATATTTAGAAACGTGTTTTGATTGTGACTCACATGTCACTCATGACGCCAGTTGAAGGTGGACTTTATGAAGTCCTGTCTTGGGCGATTGGCTCGTAAATCTCGAGTGTTTGTAGTTTTCCGGTATTGTTCGAAACAAGCAATAACTCACATGTACACTCTCGAATCAGAGTCGAGCAGGTATGGTTTGAATAGCTTATGGGAATCAACGCTCTCCAGTTGTTTTATTTGCGACATCAAGTGAGATTTACGACAAGCCGCAAATATGGCACGTCACCTAATTTCGTGCGTGAGTGTGTGTATGTGTGTGTGTGAGAGAGAGAGAGAGAGAGAGAGAGAGAGAGAGAGAGAGAGAGAGAGAGAGAGAGAGAGAGAGAGAGAGAGAGTCATATTAAAGAGGGAGGGAGAGAATTTTATAGTGGGAGAAACATAGATAGAGATAGACAAAGTATTTTTCGTTAAATTTAGATTTTATAATAAAAGTGGGTAGTGGGCCAGGTACTGTCGCTAGGACAATTGTTATTTTTATTTATTTTTATTTTTCGGGGGTGGGGGTGGGGAGGTATGTCGAATATTACTGCCAAACAATTAGAACGACGACCGCCTCCAGGCTGAACCCTGTCAACGTAGACAACTGCGATTCAGATATGAGATTGTCTGGTTATACATTACTTTAAATTGTATATTAATCACCATTGTACTCCGAATCATTTTCTCTTTTATTATTGAATTTATTTTGAAGGTATACGACATGGCGGTATCGTTGAATTGCTGATCAGGAAAGCCACGAGACAACCAATCAACCTGCTTTTCAGGTTTGTATTAATTTTTTAAAATGACTTTTAAAAAATATTTTAAACTAAAGCCGCGATAAAAATGCATTCATGCTCACATTTACTTGAGTAATTATTAAGTATTGTGGTATTGTAGGTAGGCTGCTGCTCTGGTTCTAAATAGCCCCGAGCTAAAGGCAACAGCGCTGCTGAAGCGCAGCCGAGGGATAAGTGAAAATTCAATATCTGCCAGTTTGTCCATGAATTAATAAATAATCACTGATGACTCATTTCAAGTACATGCCTGTTAAGACAACCTCGCCAGTTCGGATCATGTTAATCCGGGCACGGTTCACGTTTGATATGCACGAGGCGGCGTTAGTGTTACGAATATCGTAACCCAGCTAACAATTTCACGTTGTCACAACGTTATGCTTTTGCTGTCACAAAGTTATGCTTTCGTTGTTACAACGTTATGCTTTCGCTGTCACAACGTTACGCTTTCGTTGTCACAACGTTATGCTTTCGTTGTCACAAAGTTATGCTTTCGTTGTCACAAAGTTATGCTTTCGTTGTTACAACGTTATGCTTTCGCTGTCACAACGTTATGCTTTCGCTGTCACGTTATGCTTTCGCTGTCACAACGTTATGCTTTCGTTGTCACAACGTTATGCTCTCGCTGTCACAACGTTATGCTTTCGTTGTTACAACGTTATGCTTTCGTTGTCACAAAGTTATGCTTTCGTTGTCACAACGTTATGCTTTCGTTGTCACAAAGTTATGCTTTCGCTGTCACAACGTTATGCTTTCGTTGTCACAACGTTATGCTTTCGTTGTCACAACGTTATGCTTTCGTTGTCACAAAGTTATGCTTTCGTTGTCACAACGTTATGCTTTCGCTGTCACAACGTTATGCTCTCGCTGTTACAACGTTATGCTTTCGTTGTCACAACGTTATGCTTTCGCTGTCACGTTATGCTTTCGCTGTCACAAAGTTATGCTTTCGTTGTCACAACGTTATGCTCTCGCTGTCACAACGTTATGCTTTCGTTGTCACAACGTTATGCTTTCGTTGTCACAACGTTATGCTTTCGTTGTCACAACGTTATGCTTTCGTTGTCACAACGTTATGCTTTCGTTGTCACAACGTTATGCTCTCGCTGTCACAACGTTATGCTTTCGTTGTCACGTTATGCTTTCGTTGTCACAACGTTATGCTTTCGTTGTTACAACGTTATGCTTTCGTTGTTACAACGTTATGCTTTCGCTGTCACGTTATGCTTTCGCTGTCACAACGTTATACTTTCGTTGTCACAACGTTATGCTTTCGTTGTTACAACGTTATGCTTTCGTTGTCACAAAGTTATGCTTTCGTTGTCACAACGTTATGCTTTCGTTGTCACAAAGTTATGCTTTCGCTGTCACAACGTTATGCTTTCGTTGTTACAACGTTATTCTGTGGACGCCCATTTACGTTGTCACAACGTTGTGGCCTGACGTTGTGATGCGTCATTTTTACGTCGCCACAAGGTTAAAGTTATTTGAAGCTAACGTAGGTTACGTTGATAGTTGAATAGTTTTCCCAGTAGTGAATAGTACATAAGAAGCAAAGCCGAAACTCACTTCAATGTTTATTCGTCATTTGGCTTGTTGTTTTGGACGTGTGTCTTCTCGAGCTGTAGTTGAATAGTGAAGAAAGAATTTCAAAGCATGGAATCGCTGAGATCGCTTTGTGCAGGTGGTCCCTTGCATTTAACCAGGCGGGTGATTATAAAGAGATTTAATAATTTAGTTTAATTTTGAAAAAATATAATAAACAAGTTGTAAACAATCTTTAATGGTATTGCTCAAGGTGAGATGTTCAACTGTGTATGTAATTTATAAATGTTAAAGTTCTTCATGTTCAGCGTTTCGGCTATACGACAGCAGCATGTCTGGAGCCTGGATCACAGGAGGACCTGGGTAATGGAGGGCACCTGCTGTACACCCGGAGTCCAATGGCAGGCCATGTAGAGTCTCATTTGACGAAGAATATATAGATATAGTTATTAACTTTTTCTGAATATATATATATAGTTATTAACCTTTTCTGAATATATAGATATAGTTATTAACTGTTTCTGAATATATAGATATAGTCATTAACTGTTTTACGCCGCACTCAGCAATATTCCAGCTATATGGCGGCGGTCTGTAAATAATCGAGTCTGGGCTGATAAAAAAAGAAACATGAACAAACTCATAAACAGACAATC